GATGTGGTCGGAGGAACGCGCCGCAACGCCGATACATCGGCGATGCATCGGCGACGCACCGGCGATGCATCGTCGACGTCGGCGATGTACCGGCGACGTTGGCGTGGGGAAACGCGGCCTCCACATCGAGCCGCATCGGCGATGCATCGGCGACGTCGGCGTGATCCGCCGACCCCGCCTGCTGGGACCCCATCTTGGAGGCCTGGGCTGTCGATCGTACCGTCAAGTCGGGCCTGTCCCCTCTACAAGGGGGGTTCTGGAGGCAAATCAAAAAGTAAGAACACTCCCCCAAATGCCCAAACAAAAATCAAAAAATGGTCCCCATACTATTTTTTGCCTATTTTCGAATTTTCCTCTTGTAGAAAAGACACGCCCGACTTCGTCGCACCGATGCGCGCCTTCAGCGCCGAGAGCGGCACCGGCAGGCCCGGCCACGCGTCCACCAGGTCCTCCCAGAGGCCCCCGCCCGCCGCGCCGCGGCCGCGCGCCGCGGCCGCGCGCCGCGGCTCCCCTTCGCCCCCGGGCCTCGCCGGGGCGGCCGCGCGGCTCCTGGCGGCCATCGCGCTGCGTGGGCGGCCGCGGGTCGCCTCGGCCGGCGGCCTCGAAGCGAAAGGCGCCGCGGAGGCGGGAGGCACCGCCTGCAAGACGACGCCAGGACGGCGATGAACTCGGGCGAGGACAAAGCGGGCATCTCTGAGGTCCGGCGGCTCTGGAGAAGGTCTGGGGCGCCGCGGCCTTCTTGGAGCGTTCCGGGAAGCTCTGAGAGCGTTACGGAACGCTCAGGGCGGATTCATCCTCGTCCTGGCCCCGTCTGATCCTGTGGGGTCCTTCTTGAGAACGTGTATAAGGACTAGTGAGCCCGACTTGAGCAGGCCGGACTTGTCTAGTAGACTATACGGCACATACGACGTATTCCAGTGCCCGCAGATCTACAATAATTCGACGCACTTTTCTAAGATCCGACTAACTTCTGATCCATTGTTCGAATGTAATGCTCGCAGACCCACGAACATTGTAATCAATTCGGGGGTAAGTAAATTATTTAGCCTATGTCCTACTCGAACGATTGGCAAGCCCAAGGCGATGACAATCTTAGGGATGCACCCTCAGAAACAGAGAGACTCCTTAAGATCGGCATCAGGCTAAGGTGGTAGCAACCCTAATGATGGGGATCAACATAAGCTTCAAGCTGCTGCTACCCTGGCACCGGCCATGAGATCCCCTACGCCTAGTCTTAGGTCGGGCCTGTCCCCGTACAGGGGGATTTTGAAGGTCAAATCAGAAGTAGCCAAAAGATGCTCAAACATAGCCAAAGATAGTCAAACCATTATCCCCAGACGTTTGTTTTTTACTATATTTGAATACTCCTCCTGTAGAGGGACACGCCCGACTTAAGCCTAGTCATCACCCCCGTCTTGGCCGCCCCCGACCCGGAAGAAGGGCGGGATCGAAATCACCCCACTCCGCGCCCCCGCGCCCTCGCCGCCTCGAACCGCACCCCGCCCGTGGGTCGCCGCGCCGGCGGGCGCTCAGCGCGGTCAGAGCGGCCAACCGGGACGCGGAACTGCAGGTGGAGCACAGGAGGCACGGGGGGGGGGGGGGAGAACAGGCAGAGCGCAGCATCGAGCCCAATCCCGATCGCGCTGCGGGAAAAGGGCGGAATCCGGGTCACCCCACTTGGCGCACTCACTCGCGCCCCACGATGCGCGACTGTCTTCGCGCCCTCGCGCCGCCCCCCGGTGGAAAGGCCAGCCGCTCTGACCCAGGCCGCGTCGCCTGAAGCGTGCGATTATCTGCGCGCCCCCGGGGGCGACCTGGAGGATAGACGTCGCCGGCGGGGGGAGGGGGGAGGCATCCTCCAAGGGCTATGCCGCAACAGAAGTGAGCGCTGGGGCGTGGGCCGCCGTGGTAGGCCGACTTTGGTGCACGTCCAGTTTACCTTTTGCCAGTGCGCAGTCGCGCGAAACGATGGCATGTTCGATTGCCAAGCGAGACGTAAAGCCGCAAGCTTGGAGATATACACACATATATATATATAGATATGTATGAAGACCCTCAAGAAGCAACGACTGCTATATGCGAGCAACAACAACAACACACTAGACTGTATCCCTCAAGGCCTCGCCCATTCGAGCGGCCCAGAAGTCTTCAGGCTGACGACCCATTTCCCGAAATCCAGAGCTCCGATTGTTTCGGCGCGTGGGCTCCCGGACCTCGCGACCCCTCCCAGAAGGCTGGCTTCTCATCCCGAGCCGTTTTCTGAAGGTCCCGAGTCCCGAAACGAGCTGCCAGCGGCCCAACTAGGCGAGAAGCTGGCCGCCTCGACCCATCGGGCTGGCGTTGCATCCCGAGCGGTCTCCAGCCGGCCCCGAGTCCAGGGTCCAGCGCCCAGCGGCCCAGAAGGGCGACAGTGCGGCCACCTCGACTGTTTCGATCAGGGAGCACAGCCAATGTCAACGACACGCCGCCAGCCGTGGGAAACCCATCGGCATGTTCCTGTTGAAGAAGCACGCCAGGTCTTCGGACAAAAACAACAGAGCAGCACGAAACATCGGCATGCCATTGACAGCATCAATGCCATGCCGCCATTGGCAGCCCATAGATCCAGCACCTCGAAGTGAACGCGCGGAGGGCACATGCGCTGCAGCGGCCTGGAAGTGCCCTGAGATGCCTGGGAAACTTTCGCAGGACACCAGCCCTGCACGTACACCGATCCTGCTGAGGCCAACCCTGGGCCGAAGATCGATGTGTACGCCTTCCGTGCTGGGCTCGGAGGACTGATGGCCAGCCTGACACCACGAACAGATGGAACTTGCAAAATTTTGACACTGGTCTTTCTCGCTCCCCGTAACAATCAACATTCGCGGGGCATTTCATTTTCGCTGCTGTATGTTCAACTGATCGGGACCGTTCGTTTCACATTCGTGTTCCTCGAGGCGTCTTCGCGCGCGCCATACGAATGTCATGTATCGCGAGGGCTCCCAAAAACTATAAAGCATTCGTTTTTGATTCTGCAAATTCGAGCTTTGAAGCTTGCCTTCGTTTTTCGTGTTGAAAATTTAAGCTGTTCGTGGTGCCGCGCCACGGCACCGATGCAGGGACCAAGGCTGGCCTGGCCGGGAGTGGTGTCGGCGCGTGCCCAGACATCCCATGCCTTGATTCTCCAATGCGTGATCCCACAGGCCCTGACCAGGGGGCACTTCTGGTCGTCCCAGACTCGTTTGTCTATGGTCCTGGCACCCGGTAGTGGCCCACTATGCAGAGGCCGAGATCGAGGAACCTCGCCCGGATCGCAAGAAACGAGAATGCCGTCAGAGATCTGGGCAGATGGCGTTCCCAGATGCGATGCGCTGGCTGCTCAGGTCCCTCGCGCGGCGGTGCTCGCGGGCGGGAACAGGTCCGTATTCCTGGCCTCCCCGGCCCGCTGCCTGCGCCGCGACACAGCGACACTGCGACGCCGCGACACCGCGGGATCTGACCGATCCCCATCCCCACTGGCATAGCTTCGACCCCACTGGCCAATTTACTCCCCCTAGATGGGGATATGGGCTGTTCCCTCCAGGTTTCGAGGGGCCTGAGATGAACTGGCCCGGAGGGGATTGGGACACGTTACACGATACTGAATATCGCGCCCCGGACTCCAGACCGCGAGGGCGCGGATGTTGACCCAAACATGCGATATCCAGATCTCTCCACTACGCGGGCCCTCGAAGTCCCGACCCTTGCCCGCCAGTTCATCCCGGGTTGTTTTTTGACGGTCCCAGGACTAAGGGAAGGCCCCCAGGGGCCGAACACTGCCAAAACCGCCCGTCGCGAACTTTCACGACGCGAGCATGTCTGGGGATACGTTCGCCGCATGAGGAACGCCCGGTTGGGCGCCCTTCCATCAGGACTCGGGGAAGGACGAAAGGGCACATACGATAGCAGAGGACAGGGTGGAGAATCAGCTCACGTAGCTGGTTTTCCTGGGGCCTCCTGGCCCCGGGAGGCGCCCATGTATTGAGGAATGGACCAGGCGGCGGGGCAGAAGCCAGCTGCATGCAGCAGATTTCGTACCCCCCTTTTTGAGCAGGGACCGACGGTCCCGGCATCCCTACAAACCTACCACGACAAGTTCTTCGAGCAAAACAATGTTCTAATGACAAAAAGTCTGGGAACTCAGAGCAGATGTACTAGAACAAGAAAATCTCCGCCAGAAATGTTCCGAGAACAGTCAGCGCAAAACACAAAAAAGGTTCTAATAGCATCCTGCATATAGTGGGCTTATAGGCACGCCAAGACGCTTCGCCACTGCTTCACCGCTTCCTTAGCCTATACCCCTTCGTCCGGCCCAACGGACGCAGGGGTCTTCTGACCCGGGTCAATCCAGGCCCGGGCCAGTCAGGCCTTGCAAACTCCTGCAAGATCCTGCGCCCAAGCCCGGGTCAATACGAAGGATCATGCAAAATCCTACACCCAAACCCGGGTGACCCTGGCCCTGCAAAATCCTGCAAGATCGGGGCGCTCTTGCTTGAGCAGGGACCGACCGTCCCGGCATTCCTATAGCCCTACTACGAAATGTTCTTAGAACATGAGCCCGACGTGTTGAAACAGGACAGTCTCGACCAGAAATGCTCTAAGAACATTTCGTGGAGACCACAAAAGGTTCTGATAACGTTCTTTGGTAGGGCCATCGGCGAGCCAGGACGCTTCGCCACTGCCTGCCTTGCCTGACTCCCGTTTGCACAGACCTCCGCCTCTCAGGCCCGGAAGGTCGGGAGCGGCCAAGAGGGGGGTGTCCAAGAGGGGTGGGGTGCAAATCATGACCGGCGGCAGGTGCGCGGCCTAGCGGGGGGGCCAGGGACGTGATGAAATAAGAAGAGGCGCCACGAGATCTGGGGAAATATCATGGCCCCCGCCATGATATCCACCCCCCCCCCAGTCATCACCCCCCTCTTTTTCCGCCCCCGAGAAGGACCCCTCCCCCTCCGGCCCCGGCCGGGCCGCCCCGGGCAGGGCTCCTGCCGCAGGGCGCCGGGCACGAAGCCCGCGGCGAGCCCCGAGGGCTTCGGCAGCGCCTCTCTCTGCGCAGGGCCCCCCCCTCCGCCGGCCGCGGCGCCCGCCGGCTCGGCCTCTCCCCCGCCGCCTCCACCTTGGACGCCCGACATGGGCACGGAAGGAAGGAGCACAAGGCCCAACATCAAGTGTTGTCCCAAGCCAACAGCGGCCACCGTTGGGCAGGCGGCCTTCTGTCTCAGATGGATACAGGCCGCGGCGAGCTTGTACCCATTCTTTCCGTACCCATTTCGTTCGTGCCGATCCACGCTGGCAGCTCATGCTGGGGACCGTCCCGGAGCCGCTCGATCCGCTCGCGCGTCGAAGCTGCGTCGAGCATCCGTCGGCCTCGAGTCGTCGGCACTGAGTCGGGCCTGAGTCGAACCTGAGCAGAACTTCACTCGAGCTTGGGTCGAGCTGGGGTCGAGCTAGAGTCGAACAGACACGGCAGGTGGGCCCGAAGAAGGTCCCCCAAACGAGCAGATCTCCGAAGACCTGTTTGTTGAATATGGGCGTCTTATCCTCTCTGAGGGGCAACGATAGGGGGGACTGGCATAAGGGGGGAGAGCATCGACCTGGAATGGACGACACAACCTTCCACCCCTCACCCGCCTCCCTGTTGCCCGCCCCAGGACAGGAGGCGACGGGGAGGAAGTGGCCCTAGATTTGGCGACTTCATGGTCCGAAGGCTGAGGGAGGTTGTTAGAACGCATCTGAGACCTCCTGGGGGCTCCCCTGGCGCCCCCCCGCGCCTGGACGGGCCCCGGGGCAGACTCTGCTTGTGGGAAAGATCCAGGCAGCTGGCGACTTGAGACACCGCGCCGCAAGCTTCTCGCGAAACCCGCCCCCCCCCGCGCATGAAAATTGCTCGCCGTGCTCGGCCTCCCCAGAGGTCCCCTTCCTCGGCTCTCGCAGGCCAGCAGCAGCCGACTCGGAGTAAGAGACGCCCGGCCCCCCGGGGGAAGGGGTCGAGGGAGGTCGGGGGGCGGAGATCACCGTGGGGGCTCTGGCAGGCCGCGCTGGGGGGGGGGGGCGAGGGAAGGGAGGAGGGAGGAGAGAGGGAGGAGGGAGGAGGGAGGGAGGGAGGGAGGGAAGAGGGAGGAGGGAGGAGGGAGGGACGGAGGAGGAGGAGGAGGAGGAGGAGGGGGAGGAGGAGGAGGAGGAGGCGGAGGAGGAGGGAGAGGAGGAGTAAGAGGAGGAGGAGGAGGAGTAGGAGGAGGAGGAGGACACGGAGGAGGAGGAGGAGGAGGAACAGGAGGAGGGGGAGGAGAAGGAGGAGGAGGAGGAGGAGGAGGACCCCTGGCCCTCCTCTCCCCTGCCCCGAGGCTCCGTGCCCCGGGGCGGGCGGGCCCCGGTCCGATCCTCGCCCATACACGGCGGCGGCACTGGCTCGGGGACGCCTTCCTGGGGCGCCCAGGCTCTGGCGCACTCCTTGCTACTTCAAGGCGAGGTGGTAGCACACGTGTCAGGAGGCAACTACTGGGAGGTTTTCGTCGGAAGGACTAAGGAGGATTAAGCCCCGTTGGGGGGCTGTTACGCCGGAGTGGGCCTCGGATTAAGCCAAATTAGGCGGGATTAAGCGGGATTAAGCCGGATTAAGCGGCTCTTCCTCGGGCCCAGGCCCCGGCGCACTCCTTGCTGTTTCGAGGCGAGGTGGTGGGTGGCACGAGACCGTTTTTGGGGGAATCGGCGATAAACCGGGGTTATCCTGGGGGAGGGGGGGAGGGGGGTCCGGCCGATAACATAACCTTCGCGCTGTGGGTAGCTCTGCATATGCCCGCGCCCCCTCACCCCGGACCTGCACAACCGGCAAGGTCATAATATCCTTGGGGGGTGGGGGCAAGCCCGATAACCCGGGTCATCGCCGGACCCTAAAAAGCAGCCTCCACACGTGTGGCCGCCCATCGGTCGCGAGACCCTGATCGAAGGCATCCTCATCGAAGGCATCCTCATCTACATCGAAGGCATCCTGATCTACATCGAAGGCATCCTCATCTACATCGAAGGCATCCTCATCGAAGTCTGGGTTCCTGATCGAAGGCATCCTCATCTGCAATCTCCACCGTAGCGTACTGGGCCAGAGGCCCGCGCATCCGCTCTCCTGGACAAGCCAGGAGGAGGGCGACCCAGACCTGCGGTCGAATCTGTTTCTTGTCCCGATCGCGGCCCCAAGGATCTGGACCCTCATGGTCTCTGAAGACGGCCAAGGCGTTTTCTTCATCCCGTTGGACTTGTCGCGCAACCAGAGCACGGAATCCACAGAATGCGCGAAGACAAACGAACCAGCGCGACCTGGAAGCGGACATGAAACCAAAAACTGCGGCTGCAATTGGCAACTAGGTTCAACTGACAATCTTCCTCGAACCGCAGTGGAAACCCAAAGAAGGGAGCGAGCGGGCAAGAGAGGGTATGTAGATATGAACACGGAAGAAAACTGAGCGGGGAACTGCAAAACCACTGACACAAAACGGTGGGCGAAGGTTCCAGGACAAAATATATAACAATATAGTTATTACAGAAATAAAAGCGTGCAAGCGAACCAAGGGAAACGCCGTGGAAATTTTGAAATCTCGATTCGAGATCTGGATCCGTTCACGAAGACTAGCTTCCCATCCCCTTCTACTTGTGTGACCACCGTGGGGCCCAGAAGCGGCCTTCAGACGCCAAAACTGGCGGAAACCATGCGCCTTGATTCCCTACGCAACTTGTCTGCAGAAGTTCGAGATGCGCATACACACATTATAGATACAAACGTGATAAGCCGGCGATGAGATCGTGCGAATCTGGTATCGCTGGCGTTTGCTATCCTGGACTGTCTCCCTTATTGTCTTCCGCCTGCTGTATCGTTAACCCCCTCCCGATGGTCTCTCGTATGGCCTCTCGCATGGTCTCCTACCTGGTCTCTCACGTACAGTCTCCCGTATGGTCTCCCGTGTGGTGTCCCACATGGTGTCCTGTATGGTCTGCGTTTTGCCCTCTCTTACTGTCTCCCTGTGGTTGTCCTGGCGTTTCCCCTTTAAGAGTACGTTTATGCGACTTATCTTCAGGACTCTCTACGCTAATCCGAGGACGTGTTTAGGGAGTTCTGCCAGGCAGGGTTCCCTTGTCCAAGCGCAGGAGGTCTGGGTATACTGTCAAGATAGCTACTACACGAAACCAATGTATGGCGACGGTGCCGCCTGAATGTGCACATAATGCAAAATATTGAACTGGGTGATGTCGATTTGGGCGACGTCACCTTTTGATGAACCATTGAGCGCCGTCGTGCTCCCGCGAGATTTGGCAAGGGGGTTGGCAAAACTACCGCTCGCCAGCGACAGCGTGCTCTTGTCGCATTGATGAAATTGGCGGTGACGTCGAACACACTTGCCTCATGGATCAAACTAAACCACATATTAGAAGGCACACTCAACCGGTAATGCTGACACTTTGCGAGTGGAGCGCGGCCAGCGAAAGCGGCCGAGGATGGGCCGATGAGACAAGGATGCGCGGGTACCCTAGGGGAGGTTGCAAATCCTTCCTGCGTGGTCTGACTGTAGGAGTACACCGGTCCTGGGTTCATGATCGAACAGGCCAGTGTGGGCACCAGCGCATGTATTACGAGGATCAAAACGGGGTCTTACGCGACGTGGCGCAGCGACCTACGCAGCGGTTTACGCGGGCCGCTCGCGCGACACGCTGCACCGAAGACGAAGGCGCTCACGCCTGAGCTTACGCGGGCAGCTTACACGCGAACGTCGCGTCGGCGAAAATTGCCCCGCTTATCTGCGTCGCTCTGGTGGCGTTCCTATGCCACGACGGCCGCCCTCTGGCGCGACCTCGGTGCCCTTTGGACGGCTGGTCCTGGGAGCTCCCTGGGGGGCCTGCGAGCAAGAATCGCGCTGGTAGCGGCGGAGGGCCGTGCAAGAGGTTTGGGCGTCGTTTCCTTCCCTGTTCGGGCGAATCGCGGGGGTGGCGCCCGCCAAATAGAAACACAACGGCGGCGGCGCTGGTGATCAACGCCGACGCCTGGCCGCCAACGAGAAGGCGACACAAACAGCACAGACTGGGAGAAAAGAGGGGGCGGGAGGCAAGGGCGGCACAAGCAGGAACCGTGAGCCAGGGCGACACCTGCTCGACATGAAGAAGATCTACTGTCGGCGTTCGCCCCGCATTTTCCGTGTTTTTGCTGTCGGGCCGACGCGTCGTTTTTGCCCTGGCCGCAGCCGGGGGGGCGCCAGCTGCTTCGCGGGCAAGAGAGCAACGCGGGCTGGACGAAAAGGGGGCGTGGACAAGCGGGCATGTGCCAAGCAGCTCACACTGCTGACTTTCAGGGCGCCTTTTGGCGCCGAGACCGGCCATGCGTCGAGGACCCGCCCATCGGCGGGGCGACCGAAACAAAACTGCGCGCAGCAAGTTTCGCAACCCGCCTTTCCATCCACAGCCTTTCGTCCGACCCGGGCAAAACTGGCAGTCCTCTTCCCCCCGTCTGTCGCGGTCGGTCTGTAGTCGTCGACGACGACGACGACGAGTCGGCCGGGTGTACTCAACGACGACGACGACAAGGACAACGAAGACGATGACGACGACGATCGCGAAGAGGACGAGGACGAGGACGAGGACGACGGACGGCGACGACGATGCACTGCGGATGCCTTATGGGGGGGACTGCACAGGCCTGGCCCGCTGTAGTCGACGACGACGACACCGACGACGACGACGCACTGCGGGTGCCATTGTCGGGGTGGGTGGGGGTGCTGCGCAGGCCCGCTGTAGCCGACGACGACGACGACGACGACGACGACGACGACGACGACGACGACGACGACGACAACATCGACGACGACAACGCCCTGCGGATGCGGAGGGGCGGGGTGGGGGCCTGCGCAGGCCCGCTGTAGTCGACGACGACGACGACAACGACGACGACGAGTACGACGACGACAACGACGACGCATGAGAGGGGGATCGAAAATTCGCCCCGGATGTATACTACCCGTATACTTCCCGCGGACTGCCCGTTTCCGGCCCCGCACTGAAACTCGCACAGCAAAGCGGATCCTGGTGTGTACGGGATCCGGGTGTACACATTGTTTGTTGCTTCCCTGGGGGGACAACGGAACAAGTACGTAGCACCCCGCAGTTGCGGATAAGAGCGGCGAGAACGTCGTCAGTCCGTGAGACTCTGAAGAAGCTCGCCGCGGGCGCTTTGTATAAATTATGCAGTGAGCCCGCCGCCGGCGCCGATTTCTTCGATAAAACAATGTAGGTGGATCGCGGGGTGGGTCGCGGGGTGGGTCGCGGGTGGGTCGCGGGTGGGTCGCGGGGTGGGTCGCGGGGTGGGTCGCGGGTGGGTCGCGGGGTGGGTCGCGGGGTGGGTCGCGGGTGGGTCACGGGCGGGTCGCGGGGTGGGTCGCGGGGTGGGTCGCGGGGTGGGTCGCGGGGTGGGTCGCGGGGTGGGTCGCGGGGTGGATCGCAGGGTGGGTCGCGGTCGGGTCTCGGGCGGGTCTAAGGGGGGACGACGACGACGACGACGACGACGACGACGACGACGACAATAACAATTTTAAGACTGTTCGCTCTTATCTGCTCGAGTGTCCAATAACGCGTATTTCCCAGAAAGCCTCGGTACCCGCACTCTTCGTCTTAGATCGAACCCCTTTTGCATTTCTTCCCTGCAGGCCAGGCCCTGGCAAGCGGCGGGGCGCCCGCGGACCGTCGGCCTGGCCAGCGGCAGCGCTGATCGGCGGGGCGGCCGCGGACCGTCGACACGACCCCAAGAGGGGCGGACAGGGGACCGACGCCGACGGCGACGACGACAACGACGACGGCGACGGCGACGACGACGACGGCAACGACGGGCGAAAGCGAGAGCGAGAGAGAACGACAGCAGGGCCACGAAGGACACGAAATAGGCCACGAAGGGCGACAGCGGGGACACGAAGGGAATGCGTAGGGGGCCACGAAAAGCGCGAACGAGCGGGGGCCACAAAGGGCAGATAATGCGGGGCCATAGAAGGCAACGAAGGGGCCACTGAGGGTAGTGAGGGGGCCACAAAGGGCGACAGCGGGGCCACGAAAGGCATGCACATCGGGTCACAACGGGCGCGAACGAGCGGGGGCACCGAAGGGCATACGTATGTTGGGCCGCGGAGGGCAAGGACGGCCACTGAGGGCAGACACGTGGCCACGAAGGGCAGCAAAGGGGCCACGAAAGGCGACAGCGGGGCCACGAAGGGCGTGCATATGGGGCCACCACGGGCGCGAACGAGTGGGGGCCACGAAGTATATGGGGCCGCGAAGGGCAGCGAGGGGGCCACAAAGGGCAGGAAGGGGGCCACGAAGGGGAGCGAGGGAGCCACGAAGGGCTGCAACGGGGCCACGAAGGGCAGCGAGGGGGCCACGAAAGGCTGTAACAGGACCGCATAACCAAGCGAGGGGACCATGAAGGGCTGCAACGGGGCCACGAAGGGCAGCGAGGAGGCCACGAGGGGCTGCAACGGGGCCACGAAACAAAGCGAGGGGGCCACGAAGGGCTGCAATGGAGCCAACAAACAAAACGAGGGGGCCACGAAGGGCTGCAACGGGGCCACGAAGGGCAGCGAGATCCCGATTCCCAGGTAATCAGTGAGGGAGTCCTAAGCGTGAGCGCGACTCCTGGGTGCCTGGGTGTCGGGAGCGCGGCGCTTCAGTAAATTGACGGACATTCCAACGCAAGGGCGCCATTCGTTAGTAAATTGAAAGCAAATCTCCAGCGAGAGCACGACTCCAGAACGCCGGGAGAGCGATTTCTGGATAAATTGTAAGGAAGTCCCAAGCGAGAGCGCGCTTCCTGAACAAAATGCGAGGATGTCTCGGGCGGGAGCGGGGGCCTGGCTAAATTGTGAGGAAGTCTCAAGCGGGAACCGTTGTTGTTGTAACCCCGGGGCCCGGGCACAGTTTGAGCATCAAGACTTCCCCTGTCAAAAAACAGGGTGCGAGCGTCGAGGGGCACACTTTGATTGAGAAAAAACAGCATGCACCGGTGAGGGGGGATCAGCCATAATTATTTTTCAGAAGTGAAAGTTCAAGCAAAATCCTCCCCGCGGAGCCCCACTTCAGCCATGCACCCGGGAACGAAGAATGAGCGTTCGGCCCCCTCACTCCGATACACCACACCACCCCGACGTCGCCACCGACCCTCAAGAAGTCCTGAGACCGAGACACAGTCCGCCACTGGTAATTCGGGGATGGACAGACCTCCCTTTAGCAAAACGTGGTTTAGTGAAAACGACCTGAGGCCCAACCCTGGCGGGCGCAAGCCTGGAAAACAACGGCCGCGGCGCCCTCTCGAGAACCGAAAACGGACAATTCACTAATCGACGTGTCACTGTTGGGGGTTCTGTCCACCCCCGAGTAATGTAAATGCTCCAGTTTCCGACTGAAGGGGCCCTTTTCTGCAACCCTCCCAGCCCCCATCATTGGTCGCCCCCCCCTTACGTCGCAGGGCGCTCCCACCAAGGCTCAGGGCGCTGCTGGGCGCCCCAGGCACGTCCCGTGGCGGTCTTGGACTACCGAGGATTCCCCAGGGCCATCCCAGGCGCCCTGCCATACAGGTGCTGCCGCAGACATGCCCGCCTCCCGACCGGGGACGGGTTAGAGAGGTCCGGAGGCTCGCGGCGCAACACCGCCCGGAACAAGAGAGACCCCGACGTCCGAGGCTCCGATGCTTTCTGTTCGGGCGCGACCCCAGGGAGGCCCCGACCCGTTCTTTCCCGGGGGCCAGCTTGGGCAGCGCGCACGGGGGGTAAGGGGGAGGGGGGAAGGCTTCTTAGGAGGAGGCCGCTTCTGAGGAGGCGTCGGCCTTACATCTGCAGACAAGGCCCGCGCCTTCTGAGGAGCAAGGGTGCTTCAGGAGACCGTTTTTTGTTTGAATCGGCGATCACCCGGCTTATCCAGGGTAGGGGGGGGGAGGAGGAGACCGGCCGATAACCTAACCCTCGCGCCGTGGGCAACCCTGCACATGCCCACGCCCCCCCCCCCCGCGGACCTGCACAACCGGCAAGGTTAGGTTATCATGGGGGGGGGGGGAAGGGGGGCGGGTCATCGCCCGACCCTGATCAAAAAACAGCTTCCGGGAAGCCTTCCCCCCCTCGCCCTGCCCCCTCCTGCGCGCGGCTGACAGTTGTGCCTCCCTGGTCACTTCTTGGTGGTCCTGGGGCCCAGCCACGGCCCACGGAGGCCGAGAACGAAGGGCAGCGCATGATCGTCGGAGACCCGGGGGGGGGCATGCAGCCAACCCGTAGTTATCACAAGGAGGCGCGGTAAGGGCGCAGGGGCCTCGGATGATGGGCCCGTCTTCCACCACCACCACCACCACCACCATAAGTTGGAGGGGGAGGGGGTCCTCCTCCTCCTCCTCCTCCTCCGCCTCCTCCTCTTCGTCCTCCTCCTCCTCGTCCTCCACCCGACCAACTTATGGTGGTGGTGGTGGAAAACAGGCCCATCATTGGAGGGCGACGTGAATGTTTCTCGAACGAGGTTGGCCAACGAAAGTAGTTAAGGATGGGCCGGAGGGGCACAGATGCATGAGTGGCCTGGGAAAATCGTTCATCCCCACTATGCGGGGTGACTGTAGATCGCCCGTCGTATTCACCACGGGGGGGGGGAGGACGGATCTTGCGGTCGCAAACAGGGTCTCCGCAGCGCCTCGCCCCAGTTCTGGCTCGGCGCGAAGCGCACCAGCGCCTTGGGGCTCATCCAGATGCGCTTCGCCCCGTTCCACTGGAGCCCGCTTTTGCAGAAGTCCACGCGCAGGTAAGCCAGGAAGTTGCAACACCCCGACACACACACACACACAAACATGCTGGCGCATGCAGAATTTGCGGACCCCACGCGCTGGATACACATGCGAAGGGCCGGCGTATCTAGCCACACGAAGGTCGAGCGCTGGAAAGACACGCGGCCCCGTGTATGGCCAGGTCTCGCCCAAAATGGCCACGCAAAAGCGCATCCAACTTCGCAATCGTGCCGTGCGGGCGCGTGGGGAATTCAAATCAGAGCCGGGGGCAGGCCGCCGACTTTGTTGACATCGACGGCATGCGACGGCAAAAGAACGACGCTGATCGAAACTTGGCCTGCTGGTGCCTCTGCAATGTGCCAGCGGTTCGCGCTGCAGGGTCGTGCCATGCAAATGGCCGGCGAGGAGCTGGGAAGCTGGTGCAGTGGCGCCCATCTGATGCATAGTCAGCCAAAAGATCAAATGAAGTGGGACAGATCGGGTGGGTGTGCGTGTGTGTGTGGATGTGTGTGCGTGTGGATGTGAGTGTGTGTGTGTGTGTGTGTTTGTGTGCGTGTGCGTGTGTGTGGGTGTGTGTGTGTGGGAGAGAAAGAGAGAGAGAGAGAGGGAGAGAAAAAAAGAGAGAAAGCACGTTAGCGTTGCGAACCCGTGCGGCATGCTCGGGGGGAAACAAAAAAAAGGCGCCTGGCCGTGCACCATGGGGCCCGAGAAGCCGCCCACCTCGGGCGCGTGATGCACATGAAGCGCCCGATACTGCATCACGTACGAAGGCGGGAACAAAACAAATTTGGGAATGGCTAGATCTATCGCTCCCGCTCTGTCTCGTTTTCTTGTTGTTTCTCTCTCTCTCTCTCCCTGTATGTGTAAAGATTTCTGTCACTCTCTCTCTCTCTCTCGCTGTCTGACTCTCTCGCTCGCTCCCTCATCTCGCTTGCGCCCGATTAGGTGAAACGAAAGGCGCCGACACTGGTTTCACGGTGAACGCGCGCACGCAGAAAGAGTGCGAGCGTGCTTGCACTTGTCCTTGTTTGGCGATCCCTATTTGAATAGATGTGTGCACGTACGGCAGGTTCGTGTCGGGCCGACCCCTGCGTTGGTTGCTGGCACCGAGGGGATCAGTCAACCTTGAACGACGGGCCGTTTCCGAAACCACAGATCGTTCAACATCGACCGATCCTGGGTCGCCAGCGGCGCTAAACGTTGAACGCCGGCGGCGGGGTCGCCGCCAGTCGGCACGACGTGAACCTACCGTATGCGTGCCCGTTGTGATGCCGCGTTGTTGCCTCCGGCACGTGGCAAGCAGTGCGTTTGTTTCACCATGCATGCTGGCTGTCTGCGAGGGCTTCTGCAGCCACTCCGTGGACGGCCCGACGCACCCCCAGAGCACCCGAGCTGCTCCCAACAGACGAGGGCTGCCGAGACGCGGCCAGGCGGACTGCCGAACCTGTCAAGACGGTCCCCGAATTCCTCTGGAGCTTCCCTTGCGAACGTTTTCTTATTCGGCGTGTCGACATTGGGCGGAAGGGGGGGATGAGGCGGGGGTTCTGGCTCCGGAGCTCTGCTTAATGCGACTGTTTGCAACAGGGCATCCTATGGAGGATGCTCCACCCGCTTGAAACAGGCGCCCAAAACAGACAAGATCTACGCCATGGGGCTGGGAAGGGGGGTGCGAGGGTCCGCGCCGATCGACAAAACAATGAACCCAAGAAAGCCCGTTCGACGCCCAAAGATGACCCACGCGGCAACGAAGGCCAAAGGGGTTTCCAGTGGGTCCTTCAGAGAGCTCTTGTACAACGGACTACTTTGAACCAACTGTTTGAACTTCCCCGGACGATGCCCCCCAAAAGGAATGAGGCGTCTATCATCCCGAATCAGGCCACGACCCCCGACCGCTTCGCCATGCTTCGGGCATGTTTGGGTCACCGATTCTAAATGCCAAGATCATTCACGGAATAAGTGCTGGATGCCAAGAGAAAATGGAAACTGCTGCCGCTGCGGCGGGCCGACAAGCAAAGGGAAGCCGCAGAGAAGGGAACAGCCCTGACGAACAATGCCAAATTTGCCTGAAGGATCCGGCAAACCTTCTCGGTGTTATTCCACGAAGCGACGCATGATGACATGACGCATGGTGGGCCCATAACTGCCTCGAACTCACCCCAGAACCCTGGGTGCTGTTGTAAAGTGTATGTACGTGTGTTCGGGCTTTGCCACACATGCATGACATTGCGCATCTGCTTCGACCAATTCAAGGCAAAGAGAGCTTCGTTGCGGTATGTGGACGGGGGGAGGGAGCAACAGGTAATCCTGCAGGCATGCACGAACAACATTCGATACTTTACACGATGTTCATATTCACTCCCTGGTCCAAATGAGTCCATCCTCGCCGTCATCATCCCCTCACGCGCGCCCTGATTGCTTCTGTTGATAACGCCTCACGCCTTTGCAGCAGACGCCTCTGCAACAGACGCAGCTTCTGTTGATAACGCTGCGCAGAAGCGGCGGAAATGACTCAGATGATCGAGTGTAATTTCCACAAAGTGGTCCACCAGGCCAGGGATAGCGTCCAGAGGCGGATGGGGGGAGGGAATGTTTTCCAATGGCATTGCCCGCCAACTAGTCCACCAGGTGAGAAAGAGACGCCGGGCAGTGATCTGCACTGGGACTCGACGTCAAGCGAAGTCAGGTGTCACGATATCCTCCACAACCCCTTTGAGCTTGGGAAGGGAACCCCTTAGAACCCGTTCGAGGCTGTCAAGATCATTCCGCCCAGTGTGGCATTGCTGGCGGAGCCGAATTCACAACTATATGCTCAATTTAATGGAATAGTCGTTACAACGTACACAAGCAGAGAGCACGTACGAATCAATGCACCCGGGAAGGAATCAAAGATGACCAAGGCATTACGCTTTGGCACTGCATGAGCGGATCCCTCCCTCGCAGCCCTGGAAGAGAGGACGTTGCACACTCTCCTGAAGCGAATGCAGCCTTGACAACTCCGACTCCACGGTGGGAGTCCGCAAAGGGGGATGTCACGAGTGGCCTTGTCACAAACATCCAACCTAAACCATTGGGCCATACAGCAGTGGTGGGCGACGGAAGCAGGAGGACGACGAGATGTGCACAGCTTCCTCTGGCCTCCCTCCTACGTTGGAGCACGGTGTGGTGCCCCTCCCCCTCTCGCCCCCCCTCCTGCAAGGGCCCGCGGCGGCGCCCGAGGGCACCGACGCCGCGCAGCCGGGCGCGCCCTCGCGGCGAGCGCCGCGCGCGGCCTCGGACAGGGATCGCTGCGAAGCGATGCGGCGGCAGGTGCGCACAGGCAACCGCGCTCGAAGGAGGAGACGCCGAGACACGGCGCCGCCTTCCCGAAGAGCCCGCGAGCGACCGAGACCACGCCGCTCGGGCACAAGCCCGACCCGTTGGCGGCTGCCACAGCGGCGCCTCGGCAACTCGCTGTTGAGCCCGCATTGTCGAGCACCACCGTGCAGTCGCCGGCGCCGTGGCCCGAGAGTCCACGTGGGGCACTACGAGTACACAGCGTCCGAGCGAGAGGGACGGCGAGGCAGGTGACCCCGAGCCATCGTTTTCGCCGGCGCCGTCGTCGCCGCGGCCGCCGTCGCCGCCGTTGCCGCCGCCGTCGCCGCCGCCGCAGCCATCATCACCGCCGTCGTTGCCGACGTGCTCCTCCTTGCCATCGTCGTTGTCCTCGTCGGGCGATGTCGTCGTGGCCGCCGCCGCCGCCGTCGTCGTCGACAAGCGCCGATACGCGGGGCCGCCGCCGAAGCGCGCGCCTCGGCCTCGCCAGCGGGGAGCGCGAAGCCGTGCCACGCGCCGCGGTCCGAGAAGACGCCGTTCCTCCGGCTCCGCGGCAGCGGAGCGGCGGCCGCTGCCGACGAAGCCCAACTCCCCCGTTTTTGAAGCTGGGCGGCTTCGCCACTGCTACGATCGGCGGCGAGTGAGGAGGGGAAGTGAGAAGGGGCGGGCCCTCTCAGAAGGCTCGGAAGCTCACCGGCCTTCTGAGAAGTTTTGAGATCCTGCCCCAAAGACATGGAAAGCGTCTCAGAAGGCCCGGGGGCTTCTGAGAAGTCCCGCCGCATTCTGAAGTCCCCCGCCGCTTCTTCTGAGAAGTCCCGCCGCATTCTGAAGGCCTGGGGGCTTCTGCGAAGTCCCGCCGCATTCAGAAGGCCCGGGGGGCTTCTGCGAAGTCCCGCCGCATTCTGAGAGGCTCTTCTCCTCCTCGCTTCCCCCCCCCCGCTCGCCGCCGACACGAGAGACCCGCCGCGGCAGGGCTCCGACAGGGGAGCCCGCGCCGGCCCCAGGAGGGCGCACGATGGCCCCGGAGAGCCCCCGCGCGGCTCCAAGACGCATCCATGGGGCTCCTGTCGGCGGCGAGCCCGGGGGGGGGGGCAGTGGTGAGAAGGGGCGGGCCTTCCCAGAAGGCTCGGCACTGCCCCAGCCTCCTGCGAGGCATCGCAGGCCTCTCCGGAGACACAGGACGCCCCGCAGACGGCGGAGGGAGGCTTCTGAGACGCCCCGCCGCCCTCCGGGAAGGCCTTCTCCCTCTCCCTTCCGCCCCTCGCTCGCCGCCGATGCCGGAGGGTCTCGGGGAGGTCCGACGAGAAGGCCCTCTCCCTCTCACTTCCGCCCCTCGCTCGCCGCCGATCTCGGAGGGGCTCAATGAAGGCCCGAAAGGGGTCCCCGAGGCGGCCCCAAGGTGGCCCCGAGACGGCCCCTAAGATCCCTCACGGATCGATCGGGCGCCCTCCGTTCTCGGCGGCCCTACCTCGAAGAGGAGCGGGCCGCATCTCAAGACCCGTGCCTCCCCCTCCCTCCAATCGCCCTCCCCTCGGAGTCGTCGTCGTCCTCCTCCTCCTCCTCCTCCTCCTCCTCCTCCTCCTCCTCCTCCTCCTCCTCTTCCTGCTGCTTCGTGTCCTCCTCCTCTCTCCTCCTCTCGCCCTCGTCCTCCTCTGGGTCGCAGTCCTCCTCGTCTCGCACTCTTGCACCTCCTCCTCCTCCTCCTTCTCCTTTCCTCCTCCCGTCCTCCCTCCTACATCGCCCCCGATCTCCTCATTTCCTCTCTCCTCGTCGTCACCCTCCTCCTATCTTCCTCAGCCGACTCTCCCCCGTTGCCCCTCTACTCCACCTTCCCCCGCTCCGCCCCTTCTCCCCAAACCCGTTGTCTATCTTCTCCCGACCCTCCTCGACGACCTCCTGCCATTCCCACTTCTCGACATCAAAGGTGCGGGGTTGTCGAGGGCCCACATGCTCCGATCGATGCGAAAAGCTCCACTTGGAATTTGGCACGGAGCAGCTGGGCTCTAAGCCTTGTACCTCCAACGCTTCTGCCGCACACGAACACGCCCACTGGGTGTTCGTTGCTCTGCTTCGATCTGGACTGCACTGTTTTCCATCGAATCCTTCTGCCTTGCATTCCGGTTGCTTGGCTTGGGACGCAGTGCTTTGCATCGCGATGCTTTGATTCACATGTCTGCTGTCTATTGTGTTTTTAGGCGTTGCTTTACTGTTCGTCGCTTTGAACAGTACTTACAACATTCCTTACGTTGCTTTCTGGGCATTGCTTCCACGTGGATGGCCCTGGGAAATGATGAAAACTAACTGCGCTCGGGATCGCGCAGGCTGCTCCGGTGAAACATGACGAAAAATATGGCCACTGTGGCCTTCTCCTCCCCACTTCCCTCCACTCCCCCCTCCGACCCTCCACTCCCCCCTCCACTCCCCCTTCCACCCATCCACTCCCCTCCCCCCCCTTTTCTCGCACTTTCCTTTACTCCCTCCCTGGACCGGCTTTTAGTCCCGAGTCGTTTCTTGACAGTCCTGGGGCCCAGCGAGGGCCCCGAGGGGCCGAAGACTGCGACAGAAACCCTTTGTTGCGATGCTGTCACGTCGCGAGGTGTAATGAAGCAACTCCTAGGAGGTCTTCGTCGGAACGACTCAGCTCAGGAACCGGATTAAGCCAGATGATAAGCCAGCCTTCGACCAGGGATGTGTATACCAACGCCGATTCAGAAGTGAACCTCGAAGGAGTCGGACGTGGCTGAACAAGGGGTCGATGCATGGGGGGGAACGTGCACCTTTCGTGCCCCTTTGGAGCCCCATGGGGCCCCTTCAGGCCCCGGCGAGACCCTTCTCTCCCCCCCCCGACATATCGCTCCCCCACTGCGCGACGCCCAACTGGGGGCAACACAGCAACCGAAGCAGAGGCCAGGGCGGGGGCCGGGTCCTCGAGCGGCCCTGGAACGGCAGCACGTCTAGCAAAGCGTCGCGCGGCCCTGGCCTGCCGCCGTCCCCAGCATCGTCGGCGGCCCCTGCTGCGGAGGCAGCCTCGCGGGGGAGGGGGCGGAGGCACCTCTTGGGACTGTCCGCTGGCGCTGCTGAGCCGAGCGGCGTCTTATGATCCGTCGCACTTTTTTTGTTCACAACACCACGACGCGGCCGTCCGCCTGGCCGCATGCAGCGCCGCACTCCCTGACTGCGCCCTGGGCGGCCTTCTGCAAAGTCACAAGGTTGGCGTCGGTCAGGGGCGCCTGGGGCAGCCCCCAAGTCGGCCCCCAACTCGCGTTGGGCGGTGCGCTGCCCAGGGGCGACTTGCCGAAGATCGTGGTGTAGAGGACGAGCGCGTTCAGATAGCATCCTGCCAGATTCTGGTGCTTGTCGTACATCGTCTTTGCTTTCGTCCCCAACGTAGCATCAAACCTAGTACGCGGATCCATGATGTAGAGCTGAAGTGCGCCGTCCTCACCCTCTGGGACCTGAAGGGGCAGCGCCAGCGGAGCAGGCTTGTCGTACTGCGCGTCAATGGCCGCCCGGCAGCCATCAGGGACGGCTTTCGAGCCGCGAACGACCTGCCAGGCCAAGCCACAAGGAGCAACGAGGTCTGCCCCGACGTCTTTGGCGGCGAAGTAGCCCCGCGCAAGAGCATAGCCCATGCATTCGAAGGTCCCGATGCTATCCTGGAAAGACCTGCTGACGTGGCAACTGGGATCTGTCAAATCTTCCAACTTCCCTAACGGAAAACAATTACCGACGTCGCTGGAAGGACAGGCACTGTCTAGGCCGGAATGGTAGCCCCAAGTCATATACAAAACGATCTTGGCCCGTCCTCTGCGACTGATGAAACCACGCACCGCGGGCTCCAAGTACAACTCCCGCGCCTTCTGGACCGCAGGCAGCACAGAGTAGTCCTGCAAAACGATGTAGTCCCAGCCCTGCGCAAGAAGCGCAGCAGTTGCATTGTCAAACTCGGCCTGTTGCGCGTACAACGTACAACCACCGATCGTCGAACTGTTCACCTCAACGTCGGCCCCGAGGCTTTCGGCGACGTGCTCAAACTGGTGGGGCAAGTCGTGGACATATGTGTACGAATTGCCGACAAAGAGGACGCGGATTGGCTCTGCCGCGCGTATTGCAAGGCTGGCCGCAGCAACCGTCAACGCCGATAAACGTCGCATGGTCAAGCTGTGCACTTCAAACGGCTTGAGCCAGGCTTGAGCCGAAAAAGTCATGCACGATGCCGAGGGGCGGGAGCCCCGATCTCGGCGTATCTCCATGCGCCCAAACATAGGCGGGGAGACACGTAACCCCACCTTACCATTTAGGCCCAACCTGGGTGGGCCCAACCCGGTACCGCGGTGCATTACTGCGTCGCGACCACAACTCTTGACTGGTCGCGTCTGCGACGCCAGGATGAACACATCCTTCAGAGGCACACGACCCCACGTAGTTGGAGATTCCCTCGCGCAGACCACCATGCTCAAAACTGGAGGGCGCTTTAGAAGCAAGTAACAACGAGAGCCCACGTAACCCCGAGAGCCCAGCCTTATTCACAGTCGGCTGGCAGACATGGCCCAAGCGAACCAACGCCGATCTGGCGAACCGCGCGGGGGGCCGCGTGGCGCCACACTGGGAAACACTTTTCCGATCCACTCGGATACGACCCCCCGTGCGTGCGACATTGTGCGGGTACCCCCTCATTTCTCGAGTTCTGGCGGGGGATCTGTACAACACCCGCCTGACATCCACTGGTTTCCTAGGCGGCTTCCTGGAATTCGAATGCCTGAGTGTTTCGTAGTTGGTCGACCCATCCAGAAAATCAAATCAAGGGGCGGCACGCAGAATTCACTTCATGTGGACACCATGAGAACGGGCAGACCAGGGCCCGCATTCCCGCCCCTTCTCGGACACAGAACTTGCGTGTGCTCTTCTCTCTCACTGACCAAGGAGGCACGACTCACCCGCACTGAAAGGGCACGAGGGTTGGATGCTTGTGCGCAACATCGAGCGGCAACACATGCCAAGAGAAAACGCAAGTGCCAGCTGGGCTCAGGAGAAGATGCCTGCTAGGATCAAATCGCCAGCTGTCAGCAACGCGCGGTAGGGTTGCGCGGTTCTCTGATGACAACAAGGGACTGCGAGCAAGGGATACGAATAGTACAAAGAGAAGACGAGTAATATTGCGAATGCGAACAATCATGGCAACCATCAAGATAATCCGCCGACACCAGCTCGCCAGTAATGAAACAGCGAGTGAGATATTTGGCTGACCCTTCCCCCTTCCGCCATACCCTGGAATCCAAAATTCTATAGCAGGAGGTCGGGGGAAGGACGAGAGGGATAGAGCGGGGGAAACAACATCTTGACACGCACCTGGGGGGGTCACAGAGCCTCCCGGTCCATCCTCCGTGGCCATCCAGATGCAAAAAATGCCTTCTGAGAAAGCTCCTGAGCGGCTCCAACACGCAAGAGAGGTCTTAAGAACACCCAATATGGCCTCAATGCGGCCCACAACATCCTCAAGACGCTCCAAGAGGGCCCCGGGAGGACCCCCAAGAGGGCCTCAAGAAGCACCAGCATTTGATGTCCCATCGGTTGCTGAGCGTTCTCGCCCATTCCTCTGAAACTCCAAGACCAAGACGGTGCGAGATGCCCATCGAACCGGTCCAAGACGGCCGGTTCCCGGGAGGGCCCAGAGGCGACCCGCGCGGCCCCAAAGACAACAACACATGCATTCAGAAGGGCCCCACGAGGGGCCCCAAGAGGGTCCCAAGAGGGAGAGGCCGAAGGGGCGTGAGCTGGCTTCGCCGGCCCCGCCCCTTCGCGGGCGCTCCCTTCGCCGGGCGCTGGCTTCGCTGGGGCTCCTTTCGCTGGCGGCTGGTTCCGCGGGGCCCAGTCTCGCCGACGCCGTCGTCGTCGCCGACGCCGTCGTCGTCGCCGTCGCCGTCGACGTCGTCGCCGTCGCCGCCGCCGTCGCCGTGGCCGCCGTCGGCGTCGCCCTCGCTGCCGCCGTCGCTCGAGAAAGCGCGCGTAAATCCGCACGACGGGCGGGTCGGGCCGGGAGGGCGAACCCTGGAGAGCGAGTCGGGTCGGCTCGGGCGGGACATTCAAGCGTGGTGCAAAATTTGGCGAGCATGCGCAAGCCCTAACGGGCGGGTCGCATCGGGCCGACACTAACAGGCGGGTCGTGTCGGGCGGGCGGGACATCAAAATGTGGTGCATAGTCGAGTGAACACGTGTGAGCCCAGACGGGCGGGCGGGCGCTGTCGGGCGGGTCGGGTCGGGCGGACGGGACATCAAACTGTGGTGCGCAACCGCGTGAGCACCCGAAAACCGTAACGGGCGGGTCAGGTCGGGCGGACGAGTCCAATGGACGGGTTCGGTTGGGCGGGCGGGATGTCGGGCGGGGCGAGTCGGGCAGTAGGACCCCGCAGGGCGGATCGGGCGGGCGGCGGCTGCGACGGCGGAGGCGGCGGCGTGGATAGTCAGGTCGGGTCGGCTCGGGCGGGCGGCGACGACGAAGACGGCGACGGCGGTCGGCTCCTGTCGCCGACGCCAGCCCCCGTCTGCAAAAGGACTGGGCCAAATGACCAGGATGAAAAAAACCTGTCAAGGGGATGAAAACGGCTGAGGAAGAAAGACACGGCATCGAAAAACGCAGCTCGGAACGACAAAAAGCGGTCAAGGCGAAGGGGTCGAGACCTCTGGGGGCCCACGTGGTGAAAATTCGTGACGCCGACGTCGAAGGTCTAAAAAGGAGGTGGGGAACTTCAAACCTCCTCCTCTGTTCTCCGTCATGTCGCATCCGGAGGCCACTCGAAAGGGCGGGCCGAGCGTTTCGCCTGAGTCTTCCTCACCTTTTATGATCCTGAAGCATAGAACGTGGCAGCAGTGTCACAGATGGAGGGCAGGTCGCTTGTGAAATGTGGTTCTCGCCTTAGCGCCGCGCACAATCGCATTTCAAAGTTGCAAGAGTATCGCGGATCGAGGGCGGGTGGTTTCCAAAGTGTAGCTCTCGCCCTAGCGCTGCGCACATTCGTTCTCAAACATTGCAACAGTTTCACGGATTGAGGGCGGGTCGTCTCCAAAATGTGGCTTTCGCCTTAGCGCCGAGAACATTCGCTTGAAAACTCTGGGCCTCACTGATTGAGGGCGGGTCGTTTTCAATGTGTGGCTCTCGCCATAGCGCCGCGCACATTCGTATCAAACATTTGCAAGAGCTTCACAGGCTGAGGGCGGGTGTTTTTCAGAATGTAGCTCTCGCCTGAGCGCTGCGCACATTCGAATCAAACATGAGCAAGAGGTTCATGGATTGAGGGCTAAAAGTTTCCAAAATGTGGCTGTCGCCTTGGCGCCGCGCACATTCGTTTGGAAACTTGGAAAGCTTCGTGGATTGAAGGTGGCCCATGTTCAATGCGGCTCTCGCCTAAGCGCCGCGCGCATTCGTTTTAACTATCTACCAAAAGTATTCCTGCTTCTCATGGCTAACATACCAACAGTTGTGTTTTGGACAGACACAGGGCTGCCGGGGCGCAACAATTACATTGATTCGCGGTGTTGAACTTCCAGAAATGGCCTTCTGGCCCCATTCAGCACGGCCACGACGTAACAGTCAGTTTAACTCTTGGCGTTGAGGTCCTGAGAATGGTGTTTTGGCACGCTTCAGGATTTCGCACGTTCGCTCCCCAACGGGGCAATTCCCTCAGTAGAAATGACCCCCTGTATGGGGCATGTGCATGAAAAGGGAGCTTTGAGGGAGTGTTTTCCATCATCGTTGATAAGCCTTGGGCTTCCACTTCTCCTGCTCCTCCTTCTCCCTCCTCCTCCTCCTCCTCCTCATCCTACTCCTACTCGTAGTCGTCGTCGTTGTTGCGTGGCGGGTGCCACCGATGAACCTGTATCTTCTGCTGTTGGTGGGACCCCAGTTCTTCAATAAGGGCGTCGAAGCGATAATCAGTTTCCAACGGGTTCGAAGGACTCCTAGAGGTTTTAAGGGCAGGGGTCTTCTCAGAAGCCATCCCAGCTTCTAAGAAGCCCTCTTGTAATCTAGGAACATTCAGGCGCTTCTCAAGAGGCCCCTGCCTTCAAAAAGAAGTCCCGCGCCTCGTTGGAAGCCAACTCCCCCCCGCGCTCGTCCGAAGGCCAGCCCACTCGGGGCCCGTGGAAAACCCTGCGTGTAATGACGCCTTTCTGACCAGGCTGGAATGTCATAACATACACCGAGGTCTGGCCAGGGCCGGGCCTGATGATGCCTGGTGATGGAGTGTGCATCCGACCAGAGGGGGATATCGGGGTCGGTGTACAGCGTGGGGGGCCCATGCTCGAATGCCTCACAAGCAGCTGCGAACGAAACCCTCAGCCCCCATGGAGGCCTCCAGACAATCCCAGGCCTTCGATGATCGAATTCTCTCGACACGGTGTCCACAGGGCTCTCGACCCCCTCCCCGATGCACGATAAAGGCTGAAAAACGGCGCAGACCTCCGCCTTTGTCGTTTTCAAAAACCTTGGAGGTCGGTCTGGGCGAGAGGTCCAAATTCCACCCCCTTCCCCTCTCCGGACCGTCTGTCCACGCAAAGGGTCACGGCCAGACCTTCTCGCGAAGAGCGCCGCCGCAGCGACGAGTAGCCTCCCGGCTGGATGATCCCAAAGGCTCGAGACGCAGAAGGGCCCACGGGACCTGAGATTCCGCCGGCGACCCCAAATCGCAAGATGCAAGGCCAACGACACCCCGGGCGACGCGACACCTCAGCCCAAGCCAGGTCCTCCCTCCCTTATCCGTACGAGCCCCCACAGGCGCAGGCACCCGCAGAGGCAGAGGGCTCCCAGCCATGGGGGTCCGAGCCAGCGGGGCCGGATGGTCGCACCGGATCGCCAATGCCATCGGTGATACATCGGCGCCGTCGGACTTGCGAAAGTCGGGCTCCCCACCGCCGCATCGCCGATGCATCAATGATGCAACGCGATCCTGCGACCCCACTGGCTCGGACCCGGACCCAACTCGCTCAGACCGAGCCTCGTCGAACCTCGAGGAGGGCGGCCCTCGAGGCCCCCGAGGAAGCGCGGACCTCGAGGCTCGAGGTCCGACCGGGGCATTCGAAAGCCGTGCCTCTTGCCCGCAACGTGCCTCCCTAGAGGTCCAGCCCTCCCAGGACCGCCTGTTCGGTCAAGTTATCTTTGGCCGGTCCCGCGGAGCCCGGCAATGGGTCCCGCGGGTGCCGACAGTGGAGAGCAGCCTCCCGTCGTGCGTGCGGGCGTAGAGCAGCCTCCCGTCGTGGA